GGAGTTGTCTAAGAAACGATTCCGAAAGTGAGTTCTAAAGCTCGAAATCTACAGGAAAATGTATTTAATTAAGTTTCGAAAATGTTAAAATTTGGGCGAAATTTGAAGAAGGGGGGACCATTGGAAAAATTTCACTTTTAAAAAAATTGTTTAAAAATTGCGAAAAAATTCAGGGACGTAGATCTCGACATGCTGATTCCAAAAATATAGAGTGTTGATGGTCACCGAGCAACATTTTCGAAAGAATCGTTACGAAATGCGAATTTTTGAAAATTTCTAAAAATTTCGATATTTCAACGGTCGATTCTGGGAAAACCGTTGGAGTTGTCAAAGAAACGATTCCGAAAGTGAGTTCTAGGGCTCGAAATCTACAAGAAAATGTATTTAGTTAAGTTTCGAAAATGTCAAAATTTGGGCGAAATTTGAAGAAGGGGGGACCATTGGAAAAATTTCACTTTTAAAAAAAATGTTTAAAAATTGTGAAAAAATTCAGGGACGTAGATCTCGACATGCTGATTCCAAAAATATAGAGTGTTGATCGTCACCGAGCAACATTTTCGAAAGAATCGTTACGAAAGGCGAATTTTTGAAAATTTCTAAAAATTTCGATATTTCAACGGTCGATTCTGGGAAAACGGTTGGAGTTGTCAAAGAAACGATTCCGAAAGTGAGTTCTAGGGCTCGAAATCTACAAGAAAATGTTTTTAGTTAAGTTTCGAAAATGTCAAAATTTGGGCGAAATTTGAAGAAGGGGGGACCATTGGAAAAATTTCACTTTTAAAAAAATTGTTTAAAAATTGTGAAAAAATTCAGGGACGTAGATCTCGACATGCTGATTCCAAAAATATAGAGTGTTGATGGTCCCCGAGCAACATTTTCGAAAGAATCGTTACGAAATGCGAATTTTTGAAAATTTCTAAAAATTTCGATATTTCAACGGTCGATTCTGGGAAAACCGTTGGAGTTGTCAAATAAACGATTCCGAAAGTGAGTTCTAGGGCTCGAAATCTACAAGAAAATGTATTTAGTTAAGTTTCGAAAATGTCAAAATTTGGGCGGAATTTGAAGAAGGGGGGACCATTGGAAAAATTTCACTTTTAAAAAAATTGTTTAAAAATTGTGAAAAAATTCAGGGACGTAGATCTAGACATGCTGATTCCAAAAATATAGAGTGTTGATGGTCCCCGAGCAACATTTTCGAAAGAATCGTTACGAAATGCGAAATTTTGAAAATTTCTAAAAATTTCGATATTTCAACGGTCGATTCTGGGAAAACGGTTGGAGTTGTCTAAGAAACGATTCCGAAAGTGAGTTCTAAAGCTCGAAATCTACAGGAAAATGTATTTAATTAAGTTTCGAAAATGTTAAAATTTGGGCGAAATTTGAAGAAGGGGGGACCATTGGAAAAATTTCACTTTTAAAAAAATTGTTTAAAAATTGCGAAAAAATTCAGGGACGTAGATCTCGACATGCTGATTCCAAAAATATAGAGTGTTGATGGTCACCGAGCAACATTTTCGAAAGAATCGTTACGAAATGCGAATTTTTGAAAATTTCTAAAAATTTCGATATTTCAACGGTCGATTCTGGGAAAACCGTTGGAGTTGTCAAAGAAACGATTCCGAAAGTGAGTTCTAGGGCTCGAAATCTACAAGAAAATGTATTTAGTTCAGTTTCGAAAATGTCAAAATTTGGGCGAAATTTGAAGAAGGGGGGACCATTGGAAAAATTTCACTTTTAAAAAAAATGTTTAAAAATTGTGAAAAAATTCAGGGACGTAGATCTCGACATGCTGATTCCAAAAATATAGAGTGTTGATGGTCACCGAGCAACATTTTCGAAAGAATCGTTACGAAATGCGAATTTTTGAAAATTTCTAAAAATTTCGATATTTCAACGGTCGATTCTGGGAAAACGGTTGGAGTTGTCAAAGAAACGATTCCGAAATTGAGTTCTAGAGATCGAAATCTACAAGAAAATGTATTTAGTTAAGTTTCGAAAATGTCAAAATTTGGGCGAAATTTGAAGAAGGGGGGACCATTGGAAAAATTTCACTTTTAAAAAAATTGTTTAAAAATTGTGAAAAAATTCAGGGACGTAGATCTCGACATGCTGATTCCAAAAATATAGAGTGTTGATCGTCACCGAGCAACATTTTCGAAAGAATCGTTACGAAAGGCGAATTTTTGAAAATTTCTAAAAATTTCGATATTTCAACGGTCGATTCTGGGAAAACGGTTGGAGTTGTCTAAGAAACGATTCCGAAAGTGAGTTCTAAAGCTCGAAATCTACAGGAAAATGTATTTAATTAAGTTTCGAAAATGTTAAAATTTGGGCGAAATTTGAAGAAGGGGGGACCATTGGAAAAATTTCACTTTTAAAAAAATTGTTTAAAAATTGCGAAAAAATTCAGGGACGTAGATCTCGACATGCTGATTCCAAAAATATAGAGTGTTGATGGTCACCGAGCAACATTTTCGAAAGAATCGTTACGAAATGCGAATTTTTGAAAATTTCTAAAAATTTCGATATTTCAACGGTCGATTCTGGGAAAACCGTTGGAGTTGTCAAAGAAACGATTCCGAAAGTGAGTTCTAGGGCTCGAAATCTACAAGAAAATGTATTTAGTTCAGTTTCGAAAATGTCAAAATTTGGGCGAAATTTGAAGAAGGGGGGACCATTGGAAAAATTTCACTTTTAAAAAAAATGTTTAAAAATTGTGAAAAAATTCAGGGACGTAGATCTCGACATGCTGATTCCAAAAATATAGAGTGTTGATGGTCACCGAGCAACATTTTCGAAAGAATCGTTACGAAATGCGAATTTTTGAAAATTTCTAAAAATTTCGATATTTCAACGGTCGATTCTGGGAAAACCGTTGGAGTTGTCAAAGAAACGATTCCGAAAGTGAGTTCTAGGGCTCGAAATCTACAAGAAAATGTATTTAGTTAAGTTTCGAAAATGTCAAAATTTGGGCGAAATTTGAAGAAGGGGGGACCATTGGAAAAATTTCACTTTTAAAAAAAATGTTTAAAAATTGTGAAAAAATTCAGGGACGTAGATCTCGACATGCTGATTCCAAAAATATAGAGTGTTGATGGTCACCGAGCAACATTTTCGAAAGAATCGTTACGAAATGCGAATTTTTGAAAATTTCTAAAAATTTCGATATTTCAACGGTCGATTCTGGGAAAACGGTTGGAGTTGTCAAAGAAACGATTCCGAAATTGAGTTCTAGAGATCGAAATCTACAAGAAAATGTATTTAGTTAAGTTTCGAAAATGTCAAAATTTGGGCGAAATTTGAAGAAGGGGGGACCATTGGAAAAATTTCACTTTTAAAAAAATTGTTTAAAAATTGTGAAAAAATTCAGGGACGTAGATCTAGACATGCTGATTCCAAAAATATAGAGTGTTGATGGTCCCCGAGCAACATTTTCGAAAGAATCGTTACGAAATGCGAAATTTTGAAAATTTCTAAAAATTTCGATATTTCAACGGTCGATTCTGGGAAAACGGTTGGAGTTGTCAAAGAAACGATTCCGAAATTGAGTTCTAGAGATCGAAATCTACAAGAAAATGTATTTAGTTAAGTTTCGAAAATGTCAAAATTTGGGCGAAATTTGAAGAAGGGGGGACCATTGGAAAAATTTCACTTTTAAAAAAATTGTTTAAAAATTGTGAAAAAATTCAGGGACGTAGATCTAGACATGCTGATTCCAAAAATATAGAGTGTTGATGGTCCCCGAGCAACATTTTCGAAAGAATCGTTACGAAATGCGAAATTTTGAAAATTTCTAAAAATTTCGATATTTCAACGGTCGATTCTGGGAAAACGGTTGGAGTTGTCTAAGAAACGATTCCGAAAGTGAGTTCTAAAGCTCGAAATCTACAGGAAAATGTATTTAATTAAGTTTCGAAAATGTTAAAATTTGGGCGAAATTTGAAGAAGGGGGGACCATTGGAAAAATTTCACTTTTAAAAAAATTGTTTAAAAATTGCGAAAAAATTCAGGGACGTAGATCTCGACATGCTGATTCCAAAAATATAGAGTATTGATGGTCACCGAGCAACATTTTCGAAAGAATCGTTACGAAATGCGAATTTTTGAAAATTTCTAAAAATTTCGATATTTCAACGGTCGATTCTGGGAAAACCGTTGGAGTTGTCAAAGAAACGATTCCGAAAGTGAGTTCTAGGGCTCGAAATCTACAAGAAAATGTATTTAGTTAAGTTTCGAAAATGTCAAAATTTGGGCGAAATTTGAAGAAGGGGGGACCATTGGAAAAATTTCACTTTTAAAAAAAATGTTTAAAAATTGTGAAAAAATTCAGGGACGTAGATCTCGACATGCTGATTCCAAAAATATAGAGTGTTGATCGTCACCGAGCAACATTTTCGAAAGAATCGTTACGAAAGGCGAATTTTTGAAAATTTCTAAAAATTTCGATATTTCAACGGTCGATTCTGGGAAAACGGTTGGAGTTGTCAAAGAAACGATTCCGAAAGTGAGTTCTAGGGCTCGAAATCTACAAGAAAATGTATTCAGTTAAGTTTCGAAAATGTCAAAATTTGGGCGAAATTTGAAGAAGGGGGGACCATTGGAAAAATTTCACTTTTAAAAAAATTGTTTAAAAATTGCGAAAAAATTCAGGGACGTAGATCTCGACATGCTGATTCCAAAAATATAAAGTGTTGATGGTCACCGAGCAACATTTTCGAAAGAATCGTTACGAAGTGCGAATTTTTGAAAATTTCTAAAAATTTCGATATTTCAACGGTAGATTCTGGGAAAACGGTTGGAGTTGTCAAAGAAACGATTCCGAAAGTGAGTTCTAAAGCTCGAAATCTACAAGAAAATGTATTTAGTTAAGTTTCGAAAATGTCAAAATTTGGCCGAAATTAAAAATTAAAAAAATTTCAGTTTTTAAAAATTGCGCCTATTTTGTATTTTTCGCCTAAAATCCGCTCTTTATATATCATTTGATGTTTTTCTGGCACCTGGCTAACCCCTCCAATCCGGAAGAACCCAGCATGCATCCTCGACCCGCAAGCCCTCTCAATAAGCTCGAACATCTTCTCCCTCTCCTCGAACAGCCAAAACAGCGGCGTGATCGCCCCCACGTCCAGCGCCAAGAACGAGGTCACAGCCATGTGGTTCATCAAGCGCGTAATCTCCGCAAACAACGTCCTTATGAACCTGCCTCTTCGCGGAACCTCGATGTTGAGCAGCTTCTCGGCCGCCAGAACAAAAGAGTGCTCGTTGCATATGGGCGAGACGTAGTCGAGGCGGTCGAAGTAAGGAAGGACTTGGTAGTAGGTTTTGTACTCGGTGAGTTTCTCGGTTCCTCGGTGGAGGAGTCCGATGTGAGGGCACACGCTGCGTACGATCTATTTTTGAACTGTGGATTTGTTTGGGTTTGGTTAATTGGTGGCTGACTTACCTCACCGTCTAATTCGGTTATCATTCGGAGGCAGCCGTGGGCGGCTGGATGAACGGGACCGAAGTTGATGGTCATGGTTGTGAATTTTTTTTCGACGGGGGGTTTTTTGGCGTTGTATGGGGGAAGTTTGAATTTGGAGGTGGTTTCGTCGGGGTACATGACGGGGCCTTCGAATTGTTTCATCCATTCGGAGTCCGGGTACCAGGCTTTTTTGCGGTGGGATTGAGAGAATAAAATGGTTTTAATTGGAAGACATTTTCGTAAATTGGTAATGTTCATTCTGAAAGTGATTAGTAAGTAAGTGACACTGAGTTTGACATTTGTAGTCACATGAATTATGTTTGTCTGTTTCGGTAGGATTTTTTATTTTTATTCGTTTAATTATTTGTAATTAAAATTCGTTTCAAATTGAAATGGTTGTAGAAATTTAAATCTGTAGTTAACTGTACCGTAGCTGCGCCCTCTGCCGGTTAGTAGCGGAATATTAGTTGCCAACATTTGACCTCTTTATTTGTTTATTTCGGCTCGGCACAAACAGTTTTCAATATTTTTCAGGTTTCTTTCCCATAACGTAAGATGTGAAAACAAGCACTGAAAATCACACACGTTGGTTTTTTCTTTCATTATTTAGATCCCCGAAATATGGGTTGCCTATACATCAAGAACGTAAAAAATAAATCTTCCATTGTAGTTGCAATTAACTATACATTGATGTGTTTGTTGTGTTGCATATAGTTCAAGGATGAACATGGAAGTATTTACTTATAAACTAATGTTTTTTTCTCAACGTATATTTTATCAATTAAGAAATCAATATTGTTCGGAAAACATTATCAATTTTAATCTGTTACCGATTTAAAATTTAAACTCACAAAAATTAGTTCATCGGTTATTTTCACTTACGTGTCGTGGTGGATGCCTAAATGTTTGATCCATATACTTCCACAAAATATACGTAATTAATTTTCATACTTTAGATTAATGAAAAGAAATCAGAATTTTTACGAGACTTGACCACGTACATGTTCGTTTAATACCGATTTAATGTTGGTGATTTTTTTGTTAGGTTGGTCACCTATTTAAAATTTTAAATGCAAATTGACGTGGTAACATGGATACCAATAAATTCAGAATTGCCAACACAAAAATTTGCTTCAATTTTCCAATGAAATTCATTGAAATTAGTCCAAAAACAAAACAAGGGATCCCCGAAATTATTTCAAACTACTTTAAGAACAAAACATAAAAGATCCCAGAGATTCTTTCAAACTACTTCAAAAACAAAATAAAACGGGTCGCCGAAAGTTTTTCAAACTACTTGAAAAACAAAACAAAAGGTATTCCCGAGATTCTTTCAAGTTACTTCAAAAACAAAACACAAGGGATCTCAGAGATTCCTTCAAATTACTTCAAAAACAAGACAACGGATCCCCAAAATTCTTTCAAACCATTTCAAAAACAAAGCAAAACAGGTTCCCGAAATTCTCTCAAATTACTTAAAAAACAAAACACAAGCAATCCCTAAGGTTTTTTCAAATCATTTCAAAAATAAAACAAGCGATTCCCGATATCCTTTCAAACTACTTCAAAAACAAAACACAAGGGCTCCCCAAGATTATTTAAAACTACTTCAAAAGCTAGATACAAGAGGTCCAGGGGTTTCGAAGATTTTTTCAAATTACTTCAAAAACAAAACACAAGGGGTTCCTGAAATTTCTGAACAAATAAGGAAAAGAGCAAGAATAAGAACAGGAATAGAAACGGGAATAGGAACAGGAATAGGAATAGGAACAGGAACAGGAATAGGAGCAGGAATAGTAATAGGAAAAGGAACAAGAACAAGAAAAGGAACAAGAGTAAGAACAAGAATTAGAACAAGATTTAAAACAACAAGAAGAACAAGAATGTAAACAAGAATGAGAACAAGAATAAGAAGAAGAATGAGGACAAAAATGAGAACAAGCATGAACACATGAATGGGAACAAGAATTAGAACAAGATTGGCCATAAAAATTACAAGAAGAATGAGAAAAAGAAAGAGGACAAAAATAATAAAACGAAAAGAAACACGAATAGGAACAGGAATAATAACAGGAACAGGAACAGGAATAGGAACAGGCACAGGAACAGGAATAGGAACAAAAACAAGCACAAGAACAGGAACAGGAACAAGAACAGAAACAAGAGTAAGAACAAGATCCAGAGCAACAGTAATAACAACAGTAAGAACAAGAAGAAGAGCAAGAATTAGAACAAGATTTAGAACAAGAATGAGAACAAGAATGAAACGAACAGAAGGACTAATAGGAGCACGAATGGGAACAGGAATAGAAATAGGAATAAGAATAGAAGTAGGAACAGGAACAGGAACAAGAATAGGAACGGCAATGGGGATAGGAATAAGAAGAGTAACAGGAATAGGTACAAAAACAAGAACAAGAATAAGAACAATTACAGGAACAGGAGCAAGAAAAGGAACAAGACAAGAGTCAGATCAACAATAAGAACAAGAAAAAGAACATGAATTAGAACAAGATTTAGAACAACAAGAATTATAACAAGAATGAGAAGAAGAATGAGAACAAGAAGAAGAACACGAAAAGAAACACGACCAGGAATAGGAACAAGAAGAGAACCAGGAATAGCAACAGGAATAGGAACAGGAATAGGAACAGGAATAGGAATAGGAACAGGAACAGGAACAGGAATAGAAACAAGAATAGGAACAGGAATAGGAACAGGAATAGGAACAGGAATAGGAACAGGAATAGGAACAGGAATAGGAACAGGAATATGAAGAAGAACAGGAATAGGAACAGGAATAGGAACAGGAATAGGAACAGGAATAGGAACAGGAATAGGAACAGGAATAGGAACAGGAATAGGAACAGGAATAGAAACAGGAATAGGAATATGAATAGAAACATGAATAGAAACAGGAACAGGAATAGGAGCAGGAACAAGAACAAGAACAAGAACAAGAACAAGAACAAGAACAAGAACAAGAACAAGAACAAGAACAAGAACAAGAATAAGAACAAGAACAAGAACAAGAACAAGAATAAGAAAAAGAACAAGAACAAGAACATGAACAAGAACAATTACAAGAACATGAGTGAGAATAAGACCCAGATAAACAGTAATAACAACAGTAAGAACAACAAGAAGAACAAGCATTAGAACAAGATTTAGAACAAGAATGAGAACAAGAACTAGAACAAGAATTAGAGTAAGAGTGAAAACAAAAATGAGAACAAGAATGAGAACACGATAATGAGGACGAATAGGAACACGAAGAGGAACATTTATTGGAACATGAATAGGAACACGAATAGGAACAGGAATAAGAACAGGCATAGGAACAGGAACAAGAACAAGAACAAGAACAAGAACAAGCACAAGAACAAGAACAAGAACAAGAACAAGAACAAGAACAAGAACAAGAACAAGAACAAGAACAAGAACAAGAACAAGAACAAGAACAAGAACAAGAACAAGAACAAGAACAAGAACAAGAACAAGAATAAGAAAAAGAACAAGAACAAGAACATGAACAAGAACAATTAAAAGAACATGAGTGAGAATAAGACCCAGATAAACAGTAATAACAACAGTAAGAACAACAAGAAGAACAAGCATTAGAACAAGATTTAGAACAAGAATTAGAATAAGAACCAGAACAAGAATTAGAGTAAGAGTGAAAACAAAAATGAGAACAACAATGAGAACACGAACATGAGGACGAATAGGAACACGAAAAGGAACATTTATTGGAACATGAATAGGAACACGAATAGGAACAGGAATAGGACCAGGCATAGGAACAGGAATATGAAGAGGAACAGGAATAGGAATAGGAGCAGGAATAGGATCAGGAATAGGAACAAAAATAGGAACAGGAATAGAAACAAGAACAAGAACAAGAACAAGAACAAGAACAAGAACAAGAACAAGCACAAGAACAAGAACAAGAACAATTACAAAAACAAAAACAAAAACAAGAACAAGTACAAGAACAAAAACAAGAACAAGAACAAGAACAAGAACAAGAACAAGAACAAGAACAAGAACAAGAACAAGAATAAGAACAAGAACAAGAATAAGAATAAGAACAAGAACATGAACAAGAACAACGACAGGAACATGAGTGAGAATAAGACTCAGATAAACAGTAATAACAACAGTAAGAACAAGAAGAAGAACAAGCATTAGAACAAGATTTAGAACAAGAATGAGAACAAGAGCCAAAACATGAATTAGAGCAAGAGTGAAAACAAAAATGAGAACAAGAATGAGAACACGAACATGAGGACGAATAAAAACACGAAGAGGAACACGAATAGGAACAGAAATAGGAACAGGAATAGGAACAGGAATAAGAATAGGAAGAGGAACAGGAATAGGGACAAGAACAAGAAAATAAAAACAAGAACAAGAACAAGAACATAAAAACAAGAACAATCACAAGAACAGGAACAACAAAAAGGAACAAGAGTAAGAACAAGAGTGAAAACAAGTGTCAGATCATCAGTAAGAACAAGGAGAAGAACAAAAATTAAAACAAGATGTAGAACAACAAGAACAAGAATGAAAACAAGAATGAAAACAAGAATGAGGACAAGAGTGAGAACAAGAATGACAACAAAATGACAACAAGAATGAGAACAAAAATGAGAACAAAAATGGGAACAAGAATGAGAACAAGAAGGAGAACAAGAAGGAGAACACGAATAAGAACACGAAAAGAAACACGGATAGGAACAGGAATAGGAAGAGGAATAAGAGCAGGAATAGGAACAGGAATAGGAACAGAAATAGTAACAGGAATAGGAACAGGAATAGGAACAGGAATAGGAACAGGAATAGGAACAGAAATAGGAACAGGAATAGGAACAGGAATAGGAACAGGAATAGGAACAGGAATAGGAACAGGAATAGGAACAGGAATAGGAACAGGAATAGGAACAGGAACGAGAGTGAGAACCAGAGTGAGAATAAGAGCCAGATCAACAGTTAAAACATCAGTAATAACAAGAAGAAGAACAAGAATTAGAACAAAGTTTAAAACAAGAATGAGAAGAAGAATGAGAACAAGAATGAGAACAAAAATGAAAACAAGAATGAGAACAAGAATCAGAACAGGATTGAGAACAATAATTTGAGCAAGGCGGACAACACGAGTGGGGGGGGGATGAATAGGAAGAGGAAACATCAATAATAACAAGAAAAAAACAAGAATTAGGACAAGATCTAGAACAAGAATGAGAAGAAGAATGAAAACAAAAGCGAACACAAGAATGAGAACAAGGCTAAGAACACGAGTAGGAGATGAATAGGGACAGGAATAGAAACAGATATAGGAACAGGAATAGGAACAGGAATAGGAATAGGAACAGGAACAGGAATAGGAACAGGAACAGGAACAGGAACAGGAACAGGAATAGGAACAGGAATAGGAACAGGAATTGGAACAGGAATAGGAACCGGTACAGGAATAGAGACAGGAATAGGAACAGGAATAGGAATAAAAACAAGGATTAGAACAAGGACAAGAACGAGGACTAGAATAAGGACAATAACAAGGACAAGAACAAGAACGAGAACGAGAACAAGAATAAGAACAAGGACAAGGACAAGAACAAGCATAAGAACAAGGACTAGGACGAGGACAAGAACAGAACAGAACAAGAACAAGAACAAGAACAATGACAGGAGCAAGAACAAGAACAGAAACAAGAGTTAGAACAAGAACAAGAACAAAAATTAGAACAAGAACGAGAACAAGAATGGGGACAAGAATAAGAACAAGAATGAGAAGAAAAATGCGAAAAAGAATGAGAACAAGAATGGGAACCGGAATTAGAACAAGAATGAGAACAAGAATAGAGACAACAATAAGAACAAAAACAAGGACATACTTAAAAAATAGTCAAAAAATAGTCAAATTTAAAATCGACGAACATTAATTAACATTGCTGCTGTGCCCCTTTAATACATCAGACTTGATTCTCTTGTATTTTTAAAAATTTTAAATATACTGAAATATGTCGAAATCTGAGTATATTTATTAGAAATCTCACACAGTTTTTTTAAATTGTTTGTAATTTTCTTTTGTCATACTTCGACAGACACGGACCATAAACTTGAGTACAATAATTTAAGTTAAACAAAACTACTGCTTTGAATAAAGTGATTTTAATCCTGATCTAAAGATTGTCTAAGAGGAGCAATCTGCTTTAATATAAAATAACTCGAACGGCATAATGTAGAAACATGCTGTGAAAAGTTCAAGCGTGAATTAAGAGATCCCGAGATTCTTTCAAAGTATATATACTTTTAAATCAAATAAAATTTCGGCCTTTCAGACGCCGGTCTAAATTTTTCCCACGCTGGTTCGGCGAAAATTAAAATTATCAAATTAAATAATTTGATAAATAAATTCAATATTCTTGCGTTGACAGTGTCACACTACATCGACTGCTCAACTGACACTATTTTTAGCCTCTTTTACGTAATATAATAATGATTAAGTCAAAGTCAGGTCATTCACAGTTTCCGCGTCTGCATAACCAACATTATTTCTATTTTTGCTCGAAACTGGAAATCTTAACCTGGAAGTGTTATTTTTTCTTACGTCTTCGCACTAATAAAAAAAGAATTAAACTTGGATGTGCCTTTAAAATGTCAGTAGCTAATTACGTTCCGCGAATAGCAAGCTGTCAATATGTTTTGAGATTGAGATTAGACATTTTTAACGCGAATGTTACACAGACGCATGTTTAGTGATGTGTCAACGAGACAATTAATCCTGACCCATAAGCATATTTTTTTTAGTCAGAACGGACACCCGTTGACAGTACTTTATTTTTTTACTGTGTGTGGCACAATATTATTATTTCATGAAAAACGTAAGAGCGAAAAATTCCAGAAGAAATTCTTGTAATTATTGAGGTTTCACTTTCCGAAAGGCCTCCACAAACGTTTCGGTCAATATCCACAAGTTACCTTTTCTTGTGGGGAATAACACGTCAGATTCCATGTCAGGGCGTGTGAACATATAGGACCAGTATTTGCAGAAGATGTTTTGATTGTCGACTGCGTGTCTTAAGCGGTTTCCTATTTCCACTTTGACACCTCTTAAGAGTCTGGTCACTAAAAAGGTAAATAAACAACTATTTTACAATTTGTTTACAAATCAAACACGACCCAGAGATGTCTACGTATCGAATAGTATTCCGAATTCTTTCCGAATACCGAAGACACAGGGTTCGAACGAAAAATTGGACTATTTTGATATCAGTTTCTGGGTTTTTGTTGACGCGTTCGATCGAGTTGATAAATAAATAAACTGGACGTTTTTCGTTGGGTGCATCCCCGCTGAACCACTCTGTATGCAATCTGGCAATTAAAACAGATAAATATACGTAAATGTCGGTTTCCGAGAAATGTGAAAATATTTATAGATTTGGGCCATAACATTCTTCTCATTTTTACAGTAAATTAAACCTTCTCCAACATGTGGTCATCTATAAACATTACATCAATATACATATGTATTAGAAGTGTTATAAACATAAATCATTTTTCCTTTGATATAAAAGAAATGGCTTAAAGTGACTACTTTAAAAATAGATCAGAAATCACATTACCAGATCAATATTTGCTTATAATCATAAATATCGGACGTATGCGGCTAATGCAAAGTGCCACAAAGTACAACTTGGCACTGAAAGAAAACACTCTAAGCAATTTCGTTCCCCATTTTAATTACCCTCAAACAAAAAACAAACATTTTTATTCAAAGATAAAACGCCCACGCCAAAAGAAAAAATCGATAAAACAATTCCGGACACTATTTAAAAACATTTCCAGTCAAGATGAACAACGTTATGTAACCTCCCGAAATTCGTGAATATCTTCCAAATTCCCGCCAGACAAAGCGCGATGTTTAATCTCTCTAAAATATTTATTAATTTGCAAACACATAAATTACGACAAAATCTTAAAAGGTTATAAAATTAAAATGAATTGTAGATTATGTGAATTATTTTTGAGCCATGTGGTTTTAATTTCTACAACGGAATCTTCTAATATTCAAAAAAGTTAAACACCTGTGGTGATGAAAGCAAATTCTGGGCGTGTTTTCCGGCCGTATATTTACACAACTTTGACGCCAGAAT